CATTAGCACCTCTAGTAATATATTTACTGAGAAAAATGGTGACGTGTTCAATACTTATTTTACCTGCTGTAACTGCCGTCCAATGATAGTAGAAATGGGATAAATGGCATTTTGAAGGGATCTGAATCATTTGTTTAATAGAACTGTTCAAAAGAGATGTTCAGTTTTGAACAAGTCAAGTTGAACTCCCAAGCTGTACGCACTACTCTGCCTGTTTTCCATGACAAAACAAAAGGAGGCTGATTGTTTTTGTGACTAAGGAAGAAAATAATCAAGATATTACAAGGATGAAAAACCTAAAATTACAAACGTTCCGTTCCTGCCCACAACGTAACATAAAGAGTGATTCATTCATTCAAAAGATTTGGATTGTCCATGAATGTGACTCTCTAATTAAAGTTGTGATGTTATGTTTGCTCTTGTTTTTTTATTATTATTTTTTTTACATTCAACTAATTTCCCTGAAAGTAACATATAAATGGAAACAGCCCTGAAAGATGACTGTAGAGGGTTTCTTGGGAAAATACACTACCTGTAAAGAGTTTTATAACATCCTCATTTTCCAGTTTTTTAATTTGATTTTCAAGCAGTTCAAGACCAATGAAAAGTTTGAAAGCGTACAAAGGTAAGTGCTGAACTGCCAGAGGTTCAAAAAATGTAAGGTTGCCCAAAACTAAAAGTCACGATCCATCACAATCCACTCAGAAACTGGTGGAAACTCTGACAGGAAGAGGTGGCAGACCAAACCAGGATGCAGCAAAACAACCCCAGATCATCACACTTCCTCTGTGTTTAATTTGTCACACTGAGAAACAGTGCAAAAGTCCTGCATGATGAACTACAGATTTCCAATTTAAATTCATCAGTCATCACCAACACCTTCCAGTCTTCACTGGTCCACTGGTGGTGTTTCATGGTCCAGGCAAACCTCTTCTTTTTATTATGAGCTCGATGGTTTTCTTGCTGTGACCCAACCTGTCAACCTGCAGCTTTAAATCTCTTCTTCACAGCTAAAACAGACCTGCCTTCCCCGATCACTGTTAAGCTGTGCTTGCAGCTGCAGGGCCTGTGAACACATGCTGTGGACTCTCAGAAACTTGTCATCTGATGCTGCTGTGGCTCTGAGTCTGCCACACCTCTTCCTGTCAGAGTTTCCACCAGAGTCTGAGTGGACTGGGAAGGACACAGACCTCACAGACTCACAGTTTTGCATAACTTTACATGTTTTAAACCTCTGAAAGTTTAGTACTTTCGTTTTGTTTCCCTTTAAAGCTGGACTTGAGCTGCTTGAAATTCAAATAAAAAAATGGAAAAATGAGAGTGTTCTAAAACTTTTCACTGTTAGTGTATGTAGATCAACCCAGAATAGAGTTAAAGTAGAACAGAGACATCTAGTGGTACATGCTTTCATCTAATTTATCATCTGAAACTTTTGGCAACATTTCTCACAGGTCACGTAAATTACATAAACTAACCTGATTGGTAAAGTGTTTTTAGAATTCCTCATTAAGTGATTTCATGACCCCAAAAGCTATTTAAAAAGATTGTATGGCACTTTTTGATGTGATGTTCTGTCTGGTATTATCAATAATTACCTGATTAGTTTAGACATCATCCAAAGGTGGGAAAGTGAGGAGAAAAGGGTGACAAACTACAGTATACTCAGCCCACACACTGTATATTTATAGTCTCTGGCTCTTGTTTGGTTTGCTGAAAGCTTGACAAAGACTTCTGCCCTTTTTACTCTGCTCTACGACTGAAGTCACGACTGATAAGGTACTGACTAATGTAACTATGTAAGAGACAGAATATCCCCTTAAATATGTTTAAACTATTTCTTTATAGCAGACTCTAACAGCTGATCATAATGCATGCCAGTTTTGCTCTTAGTATATATATACAATGTATGTATGTATATATATACAGTGGTTTGCAAAAGTATT